GCTGCTTAAGAGGCATTGTGGATGAAGGTGAACCGGTCCTTGTCGAAGAAAATAGCTGCGACAGATAGAAGCCAGATTGATAGCCTAGAGACTCAAATGTGTGCCTCATTCTTAGCACGAAATGGAGGTCTTCTGGTATCTGAGGAGGATAAAACATGCATATCCAAATTAGATCATGAGTTTAGCTTCTATACACTGAATCACTATTTAATAGTGTAAAAAGATTCATAAAAAGTTGATGGCTAATTGTTTTGGTAGTGAGTCTTTTATCTACTTTGTAGAGCAGTAATCACATGTCCAGAAACAAAGATATGAACAACTAAAATACAAAAAAATAAAGAATAAAAAGATGAACTTTTTTAGGCAATGAGAAAATGAGTCTCACAATTTTGCAGGATCCCAGTTGCAGTAGGCCATGTCCGGCTTGAATTACAGCAATAGTCTGCGCAAGATAAAAGCAGAACACACACATTAAAAGGCAGCCCGGTGCACTAAACTCCCGCTATGTGCGGGTTCCGGGAAAGAACAGACACATTGAGCTTAGCAAATAATGGCATACAGACAAGCCAAGAACCAGAGGCAAAAGATTGTTTCTTATTTTCACAAATAAGAAACAGAGGCAATTATTGTTCTGGACTTTTGAATCTGACCTGAATCCCTGACTCGAACTGGTCAGTCCACTCAGATGGGAGCTGCAGAGGTTTTAGGTCAAAGGAAGAGGAATCAATAAATCTTTCTTAGACCAATAATTGACAAATGGAAAAATCAGTTCCCTAATTATAACCACAATTAAATGCAAATAAACTTGTTGTTATTGAACATACAGCATCAAATGAACTCTGCCAGTAGTTGGATATATTTGGTTCACATTCAGTAGGCTCTTTGAAAACCCATTTATGACACTTATCAGAGGCAACTTTTCCCATCAACCTGCAAACAAAAACCCAACCAATCAAAATACACAAATAGTAGTAGTTACAAAATCTTGTCTCCGCCTTCTTTTGGTTCTACTCATTTATAACTATACAAATTATATCCCTATTATACTGTCACAGTAAGTGAGGGAGAGAGTCATGTGGAGGTGGGGAGAGTTCAAAATCCAATAATACCAAACCAAATCACCTACCCATTACCCACCCTTCTCCATAATTATATAACTGAATGGACATTTTGCTGAATGCTTTTCTCACTAGATCTTCACCCTCCATCTCTTCCAAGCTCCCTCTACAGAACCCATCTTCCCACATCAACATCCTGCATAAAATTAACACAAAAACACACCATCTTTCAGCTAAAACAGAGATCTTTTTTCTTTTCTGCCACAGCTAAAAAAAAGAGATATTTGAAGTCCATTCTCTTTGTTTCCTTTTTGGGATCAGCAAGAAAAGATGAGATATTTAGTAGTGAAATGGCGAGAATATAAATACTCACAAGCTACCATTGTCATCTCCAACTTTGCAACCATTACCACCGCGAACTCTCCTGGAATAAATAAATAAGGAAACAAGAGGACCCATTTTGAGACAGGAAAAAACAGAGAAGTATGGGGGGAAAAGGAAAGAGGAGGAGACATACGGGCGAGGACGAATGGTCCAGAAGACAGAGTAAGTCCACTCTGTGTTGAGACAGACGCTTCTTAGTGCTTCATGAAGGGCCATCATCCCAACTGCTTCTTTGCTCCTATCTGTTGCTCCTGAGCCCACCATTTCTCTTTCCCTCTTTCTCTTTCTCTTTCTCTTTCTCTTTCTCACTCACTTTCCTTTTTTTCTTTATCTAGCAAAAATTAAAACCCTTTTCTCTTCTTCACTTCACCTGTTGAAACACTATTCTCATGTGAAAATTTTCTCTCTCTATTTTTATCTTCTTGAGCAACCATACAATGCTTATGAACCACAAAGCAAACCCTTTCTCTCCTGTTCTACTTTTTACCTTCCTCTGTATTAGATTATTACCAAATCTGATTACTTGAGTGAAACCAAGAAAAGGAAAAAAGAAAATGGAATGGCTAGTTAGGAGAGAGTGTTTGGAGGTGGGGTGGGNACAAAGCGCTTACAATGCAGAAGGGCAGGCAAAAAGGAGTCTTGTCCCTCCAATCTTTAAATTACCGTCTTGTCCTTCTTTGGAGAAATTTTCATTTTTACACCTCAACATTTGTTACACCCTACACCCAATCCTTTTAATACTTAGTACTATTAGAATTCATTCGTGTATTATAGTGGCATCACATATTTTTTCTTAAATATGTAAAAAGATACAACAACAACAAACCAGTAGGGTCTAGAAAATATAGTATATATGCAGACTTTACTCCTATCTCGAGAAGGTGAATAGATTATTTCTAATAGACTCTCGGCTTAAGAAGATGAAATGAAGCAATAGAAACAAGAAATAATAACCAAAAGCCAGAAAAATAACGCCAGCAGTCCAAGAGCTAGATAAATAGATGAAAGAAAGCAATAGCAACAAGCAGTAACAACGGCAAGCTACTAGGAAACCGAAGAGGAAGATAGCTAGAAAACAACATGCAATACTAGCAATCTAAGAACAAGACACTATCAGACTAGACGCTAGACTACCTACTAACGTTCAATCATAATTCTTGACCTCTACACCTTCCTATCAAGGGTCATGTCCTCAGTAAGCTGAAGTCGCGTCATGTTATGCATGATCAACTCTCTCAAATGCTTCTTAGGCCGTCCTCTACTTTTTCTCACACTCGCCAAAGCCAACTGTTCACACCTTCTTACTGGGCCATCTAAATTTCTCATCTTCACATGTCTGAAACATCTAAGCTTCGCTTCCCACATTTTATCCTCCACTTTAAAATCATACTAGTTGAGATTCATCTCACCTCCTAATTACATGAATTTAAGTTCAATACACTGACTATATATATAATTATGTCATTTATAAATAAGTTTCTAAATCAGCACGAATAGTAGCTTAGTACAAATGATAATTAACTCGTCATTACAAGTTAAATATATTGATAGTGTAAAAAAATTAATTACTATTATTTAAATTCTGTAGAACATATTGATATCCCTCCTTACTATATTTTATCTTTGTTTTCTAATTCGTTTAATTTCTTAGAAAAATGGAATTCGATCGAATATACACGTTTACATTGTTTAGATATTCATTACATGTAATAATTGGATATACATTTAGTCATACGTATCGTTGTTATTGTAAATGGGCTTCTGAAGTATACTTGGTCATCAACTGCAAGAGGTTATTTCCTAACTTAGGTACTTCGCGTGTTCACTCAAAAAAATAGTGTGGCAAAGTATATTGGCTAACGGGGAGAAATACTACTTTTTATCGAGCTACCAAACGGGTAAATTCCTCTATACTTTATCATAAGTATTTTTAATAAATTTCTGTTCCGCGTCGAAAATTAATTGAACTCATAACTACTACACTGTATCCGACTCTGCTCTCTTATCCAGCGAGCATTGAAGATTGAAGTGCCACTGCCAACCCCACCATTATTTACATACTCTTCAAACTTAAAGGTCAATACGCCAGTCAAACTAGAACCCGAAGTTCAAATTAAGATGCCAACCTTGGAGGGGTAAGCACATGACTATGTCTCTTGGAGTCGAAAGTCATTATTTATACTGTTACATGAATTTTTTTTCCAAAACATTAGTGTAAGTGAAAACCGGGTGTGGACAATTTGCTAACCAGTTGACTGATACCCTAGCGATGTGAGCAGTGGCATATGCAGTGCACCCAAATGATTGAAAAAGAAATGTCATTTTCCTTTCGAACAACAACTCTCCGATGACTTCCATAACCGCAAAAGGAAGAAAGTAAATATAACACTTTCCGCATTCAGTCAGCGGCCCCTTTATTAAATATGAGCTACGTAAAGAACCAAAAATCTATATCTATATATAACATAAATTAAAGAGGGAAGTTGAGAGCTGTGGCATGTCTCATAGGCAAGAATCTCTATTTATCCATTTGAGACTTTTCCTTATTTTAAGTACAAATTCCTTATTTATCTACTCTAATTATTATTACTTTATTCCTTTTCTTGCCGTTACTAATTTATTCTTTTTCCTTAAACCGTTTACAACTTGATTGGTAACGTTTACTTATTCTTCAACTTCTCGCACCTCTTTGAATTCCAGACTATTTGCACCTCTTTGTATTCCTTCTTTCGAAGATATTCTTTTTCCTCTTCAATATCTGCCAGAACCAGAACATGGGAATTCCGTTGTGGAGGAACTCCAAGTTCTTGAGTATTTATGAAAACGTATATTAATTTGACAAAATCACAAATGAACGAGATAAAATCGAGCTCAGACGAGCTCCAATGGAGGAAGAGCAGAATCCTAGCTAAGAGAGAAGAAAGAGATAAGAAGCTTCGAGAAATCTGTGAAGCATAATTGGGAAAAATGTAAATGAATATTCTGCCTTACAAAAATGTCCAAACACTCTATATATACACGTGACTTTTCCAATCACTCACTTGACAGCTGGCAATAGCTGTCCACTAACTCTAATAACAATACCACTAAATAATAACAACTAACAGCTATTAACAATACTAACTAAATAGAAAAGAACTAAGAGGAAAAGAAGAAAAGAATAAATATACAAGAAATAAATGTATAACCAAACTCAATACCCCCCTCTCCCCCCCCCCCCCC